ACACCAGGGGAAAAATTTGAACAACTTTGGTAGAGGACCTATAGATGATATTATATAGCAAACATCAAAGCTCTATGCCTTGTACCTTCAGACAAAAAGATTTTTTTACTTTGTACATAATGAAAATCAATGACCCCCAGGCAGAGCCAATTTTAACCCCCAGGGCTATAATTTGAACAATCTTGGTAGAGGTTCACTTCGCAAAGTCTCATGCCAAATATTTAACCTCTAGCCTTTGTCAATTCAATTGGGCAATTTTAACACTAGATCATAATTAAAACAACTTTAGTAGAGGACCCATAGATGATATTATATACCAAATATCAAAGCTCTAAGCCTTGTACCTTCATATAAGAAGTTTTTGTAATTTTTTAATATACATGTATGTACATTATGAAATCAATGACTCCGGGGGTGGGGCCAATCTTGACACCAGGGCTATAATTTGTACAATCTTGGTAGAGGTTCACTACACAATGTTTCATGCAAAATATCTAACCTCTAGCATTTGTCAATTTTGAGAAGATGATTTTTTAACTTTTTTACTATATACATATAAGGAAAACCTATGCCCCCGCGGGGCGGGGCTAATTTTGACACTAGAGGCAAAATTTGAACAACTTTGGTAGAGTACCTAAAGATGATATCATATAACAAATATTAAAGCTCTAAGTCTTGAACCTTCAGACAATAAGATTTTTTTTATTTTTACTATATGTACACATTGAAAATTAATGACCCCGGGGCAGGGCCAATTTTGACCCCAGGGCTATAATTTGAACAATCTTGGTAGAGGTTCACTACACAATATTTCGTGCAAAATATCTAACCTCTAGCATTTGTCAATTGCTAGAAGAAATTTTTTAAAGATTTTAATATACATGTATACATATAAGGAAAACCTTATATGACATAATTATGACCCCCAGGCGGGGCTGATATTGACACTATAGGCAAAATTTGAACAACTTTGGTAGAGTACCTATAGATAATAAAATATACCAAATATCAAACCTCTATTAGCCTTGTACCTGCAGACAAGAAGGTATTTTAAATGTTTACTTTATGTACATATAGTGAAAATCACTGACCCCCGGGGGGGCGATTCTGACCCCAGGGCTATAATTTGAACAATCTTGGTAGAGGTCTACCAGACAATGCCTTTTGCAAAATATCTAAGCTCTAGGCCTTTTGGGTCTTTACAAGAAGTTTTTTAAATATATTCTTATAATTCCTTTTGGTTGCCATGGCAACCAGATTTCTGCATGGAATAAAATTCTTTGAACAACTTTGGAAGCCCTTAACCCAAGGATCAATCCTGCCAAGTTTGGTTGAAATTTGACTAGTGGTTTTTCACAAGAAGATTTTTTAAGTTGACTATAATTATAATCTATAGAACACATGTACAAACACACACAGGTGAATCGCTATACAAATGCTGCGGTGGCATAAAAAGGACCTAAATTTTGCACACTACACTCCGCCTAACAATAGTGAACATTTGTGCCAAGTTATATTGAAATCCTTCTATGCATGTAAAATTTTTGCTCCGAACAAGCGTTTTTCAATGACCACTGTGATCTTGATCTTTGACCTAGCAACCTGCTTCATGCCTCTCATAGTGGTGAACATTTGTATGAAGTTTCAACATTTTGAGGCCAATTATTGCGCACATAATCCAGGTCCCTGCTACCAAATTCAAGGTAACATAGAGAGGTTAAAGTTAAGACAAAACAGAACAGGGACCATTTAGTCATCATTTATTGATGGATTGTAACACAAATTATGACTATCATGACTACAACTGTGACACATGTAATTTAGGTTAAAGAGACATTATGCCATTATGAGTGAATGGGTGAAGATCAAAATAAGATTTCGTTTTGCCATAATCCCCTTAAATTTAAAAGTTTCTAAAACAAAAGCCTTTTAACACAAATTCATGTATAATAATTAGATTACTTAACGTATAAAAATAAAAAGGGAAAGTGGGGCAGTCTTTTAAGTTTAGGGAGATTTAAACATTTTCCAATATCAGCTGTTGGTCAAAGACCATTTTGAGAGTCAATCTTTTGAAATATAAAATAAATTCAGCTCAACTTGACTATGAAAATATGAGCATAATGTCACTTTCATATTTGCTAGGTCAAGGTCACTAGAGATTATAAAATATCCAGATATTGTCAAAAATTGCCCATAACATATCTCCTATATGTATATCTATAATGACCAGATCTCTGTCAAAAGCTTTTGTGACGGGCGTATTTTGCGACAATGTTGCCCTTTGTTATAATTTAAAAACAAATATTATTGTTGTTTTCAGTCAGTTGCATGGAGATAAACAAGATTGCATTTGAGAAAAATGCTATGCCACATCATTAATACAACACTACGTAGGAACAGATTTTTTTTGTTTCTATACAATTTTAGATTGTCATAATGCATAGATCCCTGACCTATCTAATTCTTATTATCAGATTAGTGGTTAAATCTAGTGTTAATCCAATAAAAGATCAGAGTAGGAATATATCAATGCACTTGAGTCTAGTGAATTTAGTGGTGAAGGTCATATTTCACACAGCCTAAATTTCATGACTACATCAAAGGACAACACAGTAAGACACTTTGTCAAAATCTAGGTCAGCTGATATCAAAGTTCACTTTACATCTTAATCTGTGCACATGGTTCAAATTTCAAAGCTGTACATCAAAGGACAAGAAAGTAGGTCACATCATCAAAATCTAGGTCACCTGATATCAAAGTTCAATTTTACAACTAAAACTGTGCACATGGTCAAAATTTCATTGCTGTACATCAAAGAACAAGAAAGTAGGTCACTGTACCCTTGAGCAAGACAAAATTTTGACCCAAGGGTTTAATTAAAACAATCTTGATACAGGTCCACCAAACAACATTTCAAGTCAAATATCTAAGCTGTAGCTTTCTCCCATTCAGAAAACATTTGTTTTATTTTCTGTTTTTACTATGTGTACATAATGAGAAAAGGGGAAAAATTTGAACAACTTTGGTAGAGGACCTATAGATGATATTATAAAGCAAATATCAAAGCTCTATGCCTTGTACCTTCAGACAAAAATATTTTTATTTTTTTTTACTATATGTACATAATGAAAATCAATGAGCCCAGGGACGGAACCAATTTTGACCCCATGACTATAATCTTGAGGTTCACTTCACAAAGGCTCATGCCATATATTAAACCTCTAGCCTTTGTCAATTCAGAGAAGATTTTTCAAGTTTTTACTTTATACATATAAGGAAAACTATCACCTCTGGGGCAGGGCAATTTTAACACTAGGGGCATAATTGAAACAACTTTAAGTAGAGGACACATAGATGATATTATATACCAAATATCAAAGCTCTAAGCCTTGTACCTTCAGACAAGAATTTTTTTTCATTTTTTACTATATTAACATAGTGAAAATCAATGACCCCTGGGGGAGGGGCCAATTTCGACCTCAGGGCTATAATTTGTACAATCTTGCTAGAGGTTCACTACACAATGTTTCATGCAAAAAATCTTAACTCTAGCCTTTGTAAATTTAGAGATAATGATTTTTTAATTTTTTACTACATACATATAAGGAAAACCTATGGCCCCCCTGGGCGGGGCTAATTTTGACACTAGAGGCAAAATTTGAACAACTCTGGCATAATTTTATAGGAACATGGTGGGGCTAAGACAATGCCTTATGTAAAATATCTAAGCTCTAGGCCTTTTGGGTCTTTACAAGAAGGTATTTTAAGATTTTACTATATGTACATACAGTAAAAATCAATGACCCCCGGGGCTGGGCCGATTTTGACCCCAGGGCTGTAATTTGAACAACCTTGGTAAGGGTCTACCAGACAATGCCTTATGCAAAATAGCTAAGCTCTAGGCCTTTTGGGTCTTTACAAGAGGGTATTTTAAGTTTTTACTATATGTACATATAGTGAAAAGCAATGACCCCCGGGGCGGGGCTGATTAAGACCCCAGGGCTGTAAATTGAACAATCTTGGTAAGGGGCTACCAGACAATGCCTTATGCTAAATATCTAAGCTCTAGGCCTTTTGGGTCTTTACAAGAAGGTATTTTAAGTTTTTACTATATGTACATATAGTGAAAATCAATGACCCCCAGGGCGGGGCCGATTTTGACCCCAGGGCTGTAATTTGAACAATCTTGGTAAGGGTCTACCAGACAATGCCTTATGCAAAATATCTAAGCTCTAGGCCTTTTTGGTCTTTACAAGAAGGTATTTTAAGTTTTTACTATATGTACATATAGTGAAAATCAATGACCCCCGGGGCTGGGCCGATTTTGACCCCAGGGCTATAATTTGAACAATCTTGGTAGAGGTCTACCAGACAATGCCATATGCAAAATATCTAAGCTCTAAGTGTTTTGGGTCTTTACAAGATTTTTTGAATTTATTCTTATAATTCCTTTTGGTTGCCATGGCAACCAGATTTCTGCATGGAATGAAATTCTTTGAACAACTTTGGAAGCCCTTCACCGAAGGATCAATCCTGCCAAGTTTCGTTGAAATTGGACTAGTGGTTTTTAACAAGAAGATTTTTTAAGTTCACTATATAATCTATATAACACACAAACACACACACAGGTGAATCGCTATATGCCACCTCATCCCAGATGCTGCGGTGGCATAAAAATCACCATGCCTATGTGGTGCTCTTGTTTGTTTTTAGCTTGGCTATTCGCAGAATACTCCAGCTAATGCAGTCACCCATTTGTCGGCGTTTGCATCCCTGTGGTTAAGTTTTTATGTGAAAGCTGGTATCTCTATCAGGGAATGGATTGAAACTTGACACACCACCAGGGGTGAAACAATAATATGACCTGTTTTTCAAGTGATGAATCTCATATTACAGTACCCCTTGCACAAAGAAGGTAAGTTAATCTGTTTATTAATAATTATGCAAACAATATTTCTTATCTATGTAACTGTATTATGGATTAAGAGTAGAATACCTATTTCATGTGGCAGCTCATGACAAAATACAGCAACAGAGGTGCTAAATCCACCAGTGATACTGTTAATAAATGCAGCCCCAATAGCCAGACCATCACAAAAATTATGTATCCCATCCCCAAGGATGACCATCCAAGCAACTGAAGCAACAGAGTTTGGTATAGCATCTATCCCATGAGAATGTCCATGCCCTTGGTGTTTTGGTGAAGCCGTAACAGAATTGTTAATCATTGAAGATGTTTCATCGCCATCAACACATGTCTCTAGACTGTCTGGTTTCCTCTGACCATGTTCATGACTGACAGATGTTGTGTTTTCAAAACTGATGGTGCAATGCTCTGTATGAGCTTCATCTGCATATGCCCTAAGAGCTAAAAAAACCCAAAAAAACAAGACTGCTCTTATGAAATGCAATGCACTTTAGTAGGAACAAAGGATATATAATCTAACAATGATAAATTTCAAATACAAGAGGGCCATGATGACTCTAAAATCGCTCATTTGAATATAAATACATGTATTCTTCATGACAAGGAACAAGTAATATTGTAAACTAACAAGAGACACCGCCGGATGGGGTCAATGCTCGACTTTTTACTTTTTCTAAAAGCAAACAAAGAAACGTCTGAACAAATCTTACATTTCCATTTTATAATTTTAATAGGTCTTGTCACGCTAGTTTTGTCAAAGCATGAATCATTTCCATAAATAAATGACAATAGAAAAAAATACTAAATGCAGAAGAAAGAAAAATATTATATATAATATATATATATATATTATATATATATATATATATATATATATATATATATATATATATATATATATAAAAGTTCGATTCTTTGTGTGGATCTCATGTATAAAAAAAGTATGTTTTGGGAAATGCAGAGTACAAAGTTCGTTAATTTTTTATACGTTTATTTCTGTTAGCGCTTTCAAATGTTTTCACATATCTTCAGACAGTAACGTATAATATATTCATAACAAATATAACAATGACGTAACGTTATAAAAGTGCGGGAAACGTAAAAATACGACGTTGCGCTGCAAATGAAATATTCTTTTACTCTCTCTATAAGAAGTATTGAATTTCTACAAAAATACATAGGGTAAATATTCTATAAAGGGAGGTAATAAATAAGTATTAATATATTAAACTTTCTCCCTGAACACTCATGTAGATGTTTATTCACCTTAAGAAAACGAAGTGACTCTGTATTAAATTGTTGTCTATGTAAATTCATTCGTAAGTTTAATTCATTTCTAGTTTGCCCAATATAAAATTGTTGACAATTTGGACAAATAATACTATATATTACATTTTTAGTTATACAGGTCATACTCTGTTTTACTGTGAAATTTTTGCCATTTGTAAACTGAATTGTGATACCTTCGATAATTGAAGGACATTTCTTACACCTGGTTCTGTTACATTTTGTTACAGACGGAATGTCCACTTTCATATCAAATCTGGAGGGTGATAAAATTTGTTTTAAGTTTTTCGGCTGTCTTTTACTGTTTATAATTCTTTTCTTTTGTAATACATTCTTCATTCTTTCACTCTTTTGTAGATTGTTTTACAAGAATTTATAACCGGGAACATGTTTGTATTTCTGGGATTGTGGGTTGAAACGAAAGGGATAACATCATGGGCGGAAGTACAAGTGTCTTGACGATCAGTGGTCTTAATTGGTCCCTTACATATAGCCTGCCCTATTCCATGTTGTATCAGTACATCTGGATAATTCTGTTGTTTTAACTGTAATTTTAATTCTGTTGGACGCTTTTCTTGTAAGTCTTTATTTTTCACGATAGTAATGATTCTTGACGCTAAATTGAATGGTATGTTAACTTTAGTATGCTTAGGATGACATGATCTAAAATCTAAATAGTTGTGTGTATCAGAAGGTTTACAGTATAAATCTGTAGAAATAATATTTCCCCAACTTCAAAACAAGAATATACAAAAATGCCATAGCAGTTTCACTTTCATTATATGTGAATTGTATACTTTGATGCAAGTTATTAAGTTCGTTTAAAAAATCAGACGTGTCAATTTCTTTTGGTAGAATTAAAAAGCATTTTTTTCTGGAAATAGTATTTTCCGTCGAAGTAGAATACGTTGTTGTATAAAATAAGTTTTAGCGATTTTATTATGAAATTATGTTGAAATTGTTTGTCTATCTTTTCTGGCATTTTTTCCAACCAGAATATCACAGCTTTCAATCCAAGATCGTGGGGAATATTGGAATACAAGTTTACTACATCGAAAGTGACTAGTTTAGATTCATGATCTTCTATGTGTTCTGGTAAATATTTCAGAAAGTCTAAATCATCTCTAATAAAACTAGGAACACATTTACATAGAGGTTTAAGAATTATATCTAATAGTCGGCTGAGTCTTTGTGTTATGCTATTAGGTCCTCCACAAATAGGTCTAAAAGGTTAATCGTTAAGATCACAAGCTTTCAGATATTCTGACTGTTGTTCGTTCAATGAATCAGCAATTGTTTTACTTTTGTGAATTTTTGGTAAACCATAGAAACACCTTGTTGTGTGTTCAAAATTTGTTAGATAGTCAGACTCTTCTTTCATAAGGCCATCACCGTATTTTCTAATAATGTCATGCAAAACATGTTTAGTTCTTAAATCTTCTCCTTATCTGTTTCTTCGTAATTAATAGGATCATTTAATAAAATGAAATCTTTTCTTTGTAAAAAGTATTATTCATGCAAACAACAGCACCTCCTTTATCAGCCTCTTTAATTATCAATGTATCTTTTAGAGTGCTTATAAAGAATTATAAACAGTAAAAGACAGTCGAAAAACTTAAAACAAATTTTATCACCCTCCAGATTTGATATGAAAGTGGACATTCCGTCTGTAACAAAATGTAACAGAACCAAGACAAGTCCTTCAATTATCGAAGGTAACACAATTCAGTTTACAAATGGCAAAAATTTCACAGTAAAACAAAGTATGACCTATACAAAGTATAACTAACAAGAGCCACCTCCGGGCGGGGGCAACGCTCGACTTTTTACTTTCTCTAAAAGCAAACAAAGAAATGTTTGAACAAAATATTAACGTTTCCTTTTTACAAAATTAATCATTCTGTCTTGTCACATTAGTTTTGTCTATATATTTTTATATATAAATTTACTAATTTATATATATATAAATAGAGACACGCAATTCTATCAATAGAAAATTCTATCAATAGAAACACACAATTCTATAAATAGAAAATTCTATAAATACATACACATGGTGGAGTCACGTGGTGGAGACACTTGGTGGAGACACGTGGTGGAGTCACGTGGTCAAGTCACGTGGTGAAGTCACGTGGTGGAGACACTCGGTAGAGATACGTGGTGGAGTCACGTGGTGGTGTCACGTGGTGGTGTCACGGGGTGGAGTCACGTGGTGGTGTCACGTGGTGGAGTCACGTGGTGGAGTCACGTGGTGGAGACACGTGGTGGAGTCACGTGGTGGAGTCACGTGGTGGGGTCACATGGTGAAGTCACAATAAACAACAAGAATGTCGAACCACACAAATACCCCCCTTTCTAGCCATTGACTCACATAATTGATAATTTTATTACATAAACTTGCCAAAAATGGGTACATGGAAGTGTTCAATTATGGAAAAATCAACAGAAACCATTTTGACATTTAAGGCCCATGTGACATTGACCTTTGACCTAATGACCCCTAAATCAATAGAGGTCATCTACTTCTTATGACCAATAACTAGGTGAAATATGAAGACTTTGTGATGAATACTTTTCAAGATAATCAGCGGAAACTCTTTTGACATTTAAGGCCCCTGTGACCTTGACCTAGTGACCCCAAAATCAATAGGGGTCATCTACTAGTTATGACCAATCACTATGTGAAATATGAAGACTTTGTGATGAATACTTTTCAAGATAATCAGCGGATACCATTTTGACATTTTAAGGTCCCTGTGACCTTGACCTTTGACCTAGTGACCCCAAAATCAATAGGGGTCATCTACTAGTGATGACCAATCACTATGTGAAATATGAAGACTTTGTGATACATACTTTTCAAGATAATCAGCGGAAACCATTTTGACATTTAAGGCCCTTGTGACCTTGACCTTTGACCTAGTGACCCCAAAATCAATAGAGGTCATCTACTAGTGATGACCAATCACTATGTGAAATATGAAGACTTTGTGATACATACTTTCAAGATAATCAGCGGAAACCATTTTGACATTTAAAGCCCCTGTGACCTTCGCCTTTGACCTAGTGACCCCAAAATCAATAGGGGTCATCTAATAGTTATGAACAATCACTGTGTGAAATATGAAGACTTTGTGATACATACTTTTCAAGATAATCAGCAGAAACCATTTTGACATTTAAGGTCCCTGTGACCTTGACCTTTGACCTAGTGACCCCAAAATCAATAGGGGTCATCTACTAGTGATGACCAATCACTATGTGAAATATGAAGACTTTGTGATAAATACATTTTCAAGATAATCAGTGGAAACTATTTTGACATTTAAAGCCCCTGTGACCTTGACCTTTGACCTAGTGACCCCAAAATCAATAGGGGTCATCTAATAGTTATGACCAATCACTGTGTGAAATATGAAGACTTTGTGATACATACTTTTCAAGATAATCAGCTGAAACCATTTTGACATTTAAGGCCCCTGTGACCTTGACCTTTGACCTAGTAACCCCAAAATCAATAGGGGTCATCTACTAGTGATGACCAATCACTATGTGAAATATGAAGACTTTGTGATAAATACTTTTCAAGATAATCAGCGGAAACCATGTGGTCTACCGACGGACAGACCGACGGACCGACAGACAGACAGACCGACATTCGCAAAACAATATACCCCCTCTTCTTCGAAGGGGGGCATAACAAGGTCTTGTCTTTATGTATGTTCTGTTATAATATGAAGTTGATCCCTTCAATAATAGCAAAGTAACAGCCAAAACAAAGTCAAGGTCATTAATGAGTGAAGGTCAAGGTCTGTCGGGTTATTTTTAAGGGTTATCCTTACAAGGTCAATGTGACCTTGACCTTTGACCCTTGACCTCATAATCAATAGGGGTCATCTGCTGGTCATGACCAATCATCATACCAAGTTTGAAGTTCCTAGGACTAAGGGTTCTTTAGTTATTGATCGGAAACCGTTTTAACCTACAAGGTCAATGTGACCTTGACCTTTGACCCCAAAATCAATAGGGGTCATCTGCTGGTCATGACCAATCATCATACCAAGTTTGAAATTCCTAGGCCTAAGCGTTCTTTAGTTATTGATCAGAAACCATTTTTACCTACAAGGTCAATGTGACCTTGACCTTCCCCCTTG